TTTTGAAAGTGTAAAGGATGGAAATAAAATTAACTTTGTTGACATATTATACAAGAATGTCTAATCTGTAATTTATGCCTTTTGGTGATTTTTCCATCTTTTCCTTGGCTTCTTTATGCACATTAATACAAATTTTTAGCTGGGGTGCCCGAACTTTAAGTTTTGTTTATTCATTGCTTCACTGAGGCTGAGAAGCAGGCAGAAAACAAACAGCTACCTTCAATAGCTGAGCATTGCTCAGCTTGACATCCCATTTTGGTTCCAGAAGTGGGTGAGACGTTTCCATGCCAATCGCTGTACACTGTATGGAGATGTAGTTTATATAGCGCCCTCAAGGCGCTGTATCTGTTTATTGAAGGTAATAGTTTTGGACTACCTTAGACCAAACATACTATTAAACATCACTAAAAGTTGGAGATCAGCTTTAACTCCTTCCCCACTGATAGGTTGGAGATATTGTATATATACTTCACCCTCCCCACATCTGAGCACAGAATTGTGACCCTTCTGCAAGTAGGGGATTGGGGCACATTATTTAGGGGAGCATTTAAAGCGGAAACCATCACTCTGTCAACACTGCCTGTTTTTGAATCCTTATGCTGCTTGCATTAGTAAATAAAGTATGTCTTAGAATTTTTTTTGTTGTTTTTTTACGTTTCTCCAGTTACTTTCTTGTTTCCATGCCATACATCCCATGAGTCTTTAGGAGGGGAGGATGGTTTTCTCAGCTAAGCACTCTCTCCTGTCTGCATGCCTGAGCTAAAGTCAGATGGATTCCTGCAAAATATGCTTCTTGAATCATCTGCCCTCACTCAAGATTGCCACGGACAGAAATGATAGGGGGTGTCTTTCAAAGTGATTTCTTAGCAAAATAAATTAAAGCAAACCTTGAGTTGGACTTTATGATTCCTAGTAAATGTAGTATTTTTTTTCTTGTTAGCATACTCTCTGGATGGACTTCTGGTCTTTTCTCTGCTCTTTATCTGCACCTGCGCTTATTTCAGGAAGGTCCTCGATTGCGCACTTGGCTTTTGTCTGAAAAGAAAGGTGTATGGGGAGTCTTCTATAAAGGTAAGTGAAAATTACAACAGCATTTTCTTGAAAGTGTTTGCAGTACTTATTCAAGCAGAATCTCTGTTACTAAGGTATTCTACTATTAACCACGTGACCTTGGAAGATTTACCCTCCATCATGACCAGGCTATTTTTTTGCGATACAGCGCTGCATTGCTTTAACTGACAATTGCACAGTCATTCAAAACTGTACATAAATGAAATTCATGTCTTTTTTTTCCCATCCAAATAGAGCTGTATTTGATCACCTCTGGGTTTTTTCAAATTTTTACTTTATTATAAAACCTATCCAATAAAATTCTTCATAAATTAAGGCCCAAATGTATTCTGCTACATATATTGTGTAAAAAAAAAAAAAAAAAAAAAAAAAAAAAAAAAAAAAAAAGCGTATCTTTGATTGGTTGTGCAAAAGTTATAGCATCTACAAATGACAGTGTATATATACTGGATTTTTTTTTTATACTAGTAGCGCGGTGATTAGTGACTTATGGTGGGACTGCAATATTGCTGCAAACCAGTGACACTAATATAGTGATCAGTGCTAAAATATACACTCTCACTGTATTACTGACACTGACAGGGAAGGGATTAAACTTCTGTGGCGATCAAAGGGTTAATTGTGTGCCTAGCCAGTGCTTTTGTGTACTGTGGGTGCTGTTTTTTACTAGACAATCTGCTAGATGTTATTCCCCGAATAACATCTAGCAGATCGCTGCTGCCAGATCACAGTTCTGCCTTGTTTACATAGCCAGAGCTGTGTTCTGTCAGTCTCTTCAGCGATCAACCTGCTGGTGCTCAAAAAATTTGGCCGGCACCTGTTGATTAGGCTTCTGCTTTGTCCAGTCGCAGCAGAAGCGGCACTTCGGCAGCAGCAGGCACACGCTCCCCTGTGGCTAAAATGCAAAAGAACTGCTATAGGGCAGATAGAAAGCTGTTAACAAGTTGCTTAATTAACTAGTTGCTGACCGCACATAGCCGAATGATGGCTACACTGCGGCTGGCCAGTTCTGGGAGGGCTTCATGACGTCCTCCCAGAATGCGTTCTCCTGCGCGCCCCGGTGATCTCCGTGATCGCTGTGTCCTACGGACACAGCTGATCACGTGCTGTGGTAAAAGGCCAATCACAGCAGCTTTTTACCACGTGATCAGCCGTGTCCAGTGACACTCTGATCACAGGGAAATGCAATTGCCGGTTCTCGGCTGCACTTTCCTCACGCTGTCAGAACGTGGGGAAATTACTGCCGAGAACTGGCAGGTGTCAGAGCAGGGATCAGCACTGATCATCAGGGCACATCCGTGAAGGAGAAAAATTACCTGTTTGCTAAATTTTATAATAGAAACAAAGAAACTTTTTTTTCAAATTTTTTGCTTTTTTTTGTTTATAGTGCAAAAAGCAAAACACCCAGCGGCGAGTAAATACCACCAAAAGAAAGCTCTATTTGTGAGTAAAAAAATGATAAAAATTTCATGTGGGTACAATGTTGCAAGGCCATGCAATTGTCATTCAAAGTGCGACAGCGCTGAAAATTGGCCTGGTAAGGAGGGGGTATAAGTGCCCGGTAGGCAAGTGGTTAATGGTTAACCAGTTCCCACCTGGCCTATTGTAAAATTACGGCTGGGCAGGACATTTGTCGTAATGGGTGGACATCATATGACATTCTCCCCAGTACATGCCTTGTTGTAGCGAGATCTGTCACCCGCTGTGTCCGGTATTCCGATGACCGGTCAGTGTCCCGGCCGATGACCGGTCAGTGTACCGGCCGATGACCAATCACAGCAGATCACATGAAAATTGTATATAATGGATGATGCTCATTCATGCCATCCATTGTGTACTACTGTGTTGATTGCAGTTAACTGATTGATCACTGTGACCACATATACAGACAGGGCTAAACGCAGCCTATCTGTACCATGTGATAAGCTGTGGCCAATCAAAACTAACAGTAGTAAATACTGAGTGAATCGATTTTCATTCAGTAAAATGACTGTTTATATAAGGGAAATTCACTGGTATAAGCAATCCATAGTGTGTAGTAAAGAAAAAAAAGCCCTGATCACTTCCTCATGAGAGTAGTACTGTATTGCTCTGTTCACAGTATGTTAAAAAAAAATTTAAATAAGGACAAAAATTTTTTTTTAAAAATTGAAAAAACCTTTTTGCATACTGTCACTCTTCAGTGACCCTGACTACTGCTGCAACCATTGTATGATGACGCTGTACTACACTGGTGACAGTAAAAAAAAAAAAAAAAACAAATTGGAAAACTATTTTTTAAAATGTCTTTATTTTCCTAATTGTGACAAAAAAATTACAACTTAAAAAAACTTGCCATACCTCTTACTAAATACCTTGGACCACTCTACTTTCCAAAAGGGTCGTTTGGGGGGATATTTGCACTGTCCTGGCATTTCCAGGTCTCAAGAAATTAGATAGGCCATCACTACTGATTGATTTTTGGATATATATCCCATACGTTGTGGACTCTATAACTTTTCTACAGACTATAATAATATACACTGATTTAGCTTATTTTCAACAATGAATGTAGCAGAATATATTTTGGCCTAAATTTATTAAGAAAGATTTGCAAAATGTTATAACAGAAACAAAGAAAAATGCAGTTTTTAAAAAAAATGTTGGTCTTTTTTTCATTTATTTAGCAAAAAAAAATAAAAAACCCAGTGGTGACTAAATACCACCAAAAGAAAAGTCTAGTTGCGTGAAAAACAATGATAAAAAATGTAATATCGGTAGAGTGTTGCATGACCATGCAATTGTCATTCAAAATGCGACAGTGCTGAAAGCTGAAAATTGGCCTGAGCAGGAAGGGGGTGAAGGTGCCTCGTATTGAAGTGGTTAAAGTATAATTAACCGCATGCCGCCCAGCCACTGTACATATACGGCGGCAGGGCGGCACTCACAGGCAAAACCACGTTTTACGACGTGTGTTTTGTAAACAGGGGCGCGCCGCCGCCCTATTTGTCCCGCGGTTCTCTGCCACAGATGTCAGTCGCCGGGTCACAGCCGCTCCTTAGTGCTATGTCCCGGCGATTGGCGGCAAAACAGTGACAGAGTGCACAGCTGCAGTAGCTGTGCTGTCTGTCACTTCCCTGACAGCTCGATCAGCCTTGTCCCCGCCCAGTACACACACCCCCGCCCCCTAGGAAAACACTCCCCTCACTCCTATAACCCTTCCCTGCTAAATAAAGTTAACCCCTTCCTCCCCATTGCCATTAGTTACAGTGTCAGTTTTTTTTTTTTTTGCACTGATCACTGTATTAGTGTTTTTTTGGGGATGGTCAGTGACCCCAAGTCAGTACCCCCCAATGTCAAAATGTCCGCCGCAGTCCCGCCATAAGTCGCTGGTCGCTGCCATAAGTCCCTGATTGCCCCATAATTCGCTGATCGCCGCCATTATCAGTATAAAAAAAAACCCTAAAAATCCAGTATCTTTCCCCCCATTTGTAAACGCTATAACTTTCACGTAAACCAATTAATTTACACGTATTGGTTTTTTTTTTAGCAAAGACATGTCGCAGAATACATTTTGGCAGAAATTTATGACTAAATTTGATTTTTGCATTTTTTTTTACTGGACATATTTTATAGCAAAAAGTCCAAAATATTTTTTTTTTTCCTCAAAATTGTCAGCCTTTTTTTTTTTTTTAGAGCACAAAAAATAAAAACCGCACAGGCGATCAAATACCACCGAAAGAAAGCTCAATTTGTGGGGAAAAAAAGGATGTAAATTTCATTTATGTACCATATTGCATGACCGCGCAATTGTCCGTTAAACTAGCGCAGCGCTGTATAGCAGAAAAATGGCGTAAATTGCAGTATTTTATACCATAGTTTGTAGACGCTATAACTTCCACAAAAAGCAATCAATATACACTTATTGGGATTTTATTTTACCAAAAACATGTAGCAGAATACATTTTTGGCCTAAATTTATAACCAACTTTGAGTTTTACTATATATTTTTTCTAGCTGAAAATAAAAAATATTGTTTTTCTTCAAAATTTTTGGCATTTTTTTGTTTATAGCGTGAAAAATAAAAAGCGCACAGGTGATCAAATACCACCGAAAGAAAGCTCTATTTGTGTGAAAAAAAGGACGTAAATTTCGTTTGGGTGCAGCATTGCATGACCGCGCAATTATCATTGAATTAGTGCAGCGCCAAGTAGCAAAAAGAGGCCAGGTCATTAAGGGGGGGGTAAATCCTCAGGAGCTCAAGTGGTTAAAGGCTAAACTTTTTTTAGTTTTAGAAAAAGTGGAGATGGATTGGAACGTTTAAAAGATTTTTATTGCTGTCTGTGCTCTTGTTAGGGAGATTTACCCTCTCTGTTTGTCCTGTTTACCATTATCATTGAAAGTAAAAGAAAATACCAAACTTTGGGTTTTCCCCAGAAAATTAATAGAAGGGAAATTTTCCAATGGGGGGGGGGGGGGGACGACACTAGTTCTGCTGACCTGGGGGTCACCAAGGAATTCTCTTTATTTACAGAGATCTCCTCTCACTTCCTGTTTTGGCTATAGGATAGGAGGAGAAGTCTCTGTAGTGGGACACAGGTGGCAAAAAAAAAAAAAAAATCTGACTGGTTATAACCTCCCTTGCTCTATCCTGAATGGAAAAAAAAAAGTTTTGTCTATAGTTCTACTTTAAGCTAGGCCACATGAGATAACATATCTGAGAGTCAAACTGTCTTTTCTGCCTTTAGCAACCAACCACCTTCTACCTTTTATATGCAAAATCGTGTGTGTGTGTGTATATATGTATATGTGTGTATATATATATATATGTGTGTGTGTGTGTGGGTGTGTATATATATATATATATATATAATATATATATATATATATGTATATTATATATATATATATATTGTGTATATGTGTGATTTTACGCAACAGTAGTTCTGCTATAGGGTGGTTGGGAAGCGGTTGATCATCACAGAATACAGAGGAATTATTCATGACCACTTGGCTCATAC